CCAGACTCCTCCATACGACACCTATAGAAGGACCTAACATCAAACCGACCCTGAGAAGCAGGGGCCCAAACCCAACAATTAGAAACACCACCCCGTAATCTCTTGACGATACAACTCCTTTAAAAAACCAATGGAATCCTCAATTTCCCAATCCTGAAAGTGCCTCCTGAAACGAACATCCCAAGACGATATTCCTCTATCAAGCCGATAATAGTCGACCACCATGGCCTGCCTATCCATGGCAATCTTGAAGAGTCGGGGGAAAATGAGAGTAAGAGAGCGGTCACCACACCAAACGTCCTCCCAGAAACTGATCCTCCTATCATCCTTGAGTCAAAATCTAATGTGTTTAGAGAATCCATCCCACCCCTTCCGAATGAGTTTCCAAACTCCCACATCCCTTGGAAAGCGTCCCTCAAGAGAACACCATCCTCCTCTCCCCTCCCCAAATTTACTCGCTACCACTTTCCTCCAAAGCCTATGCCTCTCTACCCTGAACCTCTGAAGCCACTTCCTAAGAAGAGCCTTATTAAAAGGCACCAATCTTCTAAAACCCAAACCTCCATCCCAGATTGGACTACAAAGCTGCTCCCAGCAAACTAGATGATACTTGAATTCCTCCCCCATCCCTCCCCCCCCAAACAGATAATTCCGCTGCAATCTCTCAATTCTCTCAGCCACAGAAGAGGGAATCTGGAATAGAGAGAGAAAATAAGTGAGGAGGCTTGAAAGGGTGCTCTTAATCAGAGTGCCCCTTCCTCCCTTGGAAAGGTATTGCATCTTCCATCCTGCCAGTCCCTTTCGAATCTTTCCACAATAGGATCCTAGTTGCCCACACACCACGAGGATGATCCAAGGGGTAAACCCAAATAAGAAATGGGAAAGGAGCCAACACAACATCCAAGGATATCAGCGAACGACGCGATTTTAGGGACCTCCCCAATTAGCACCAAAACGCTCTTCCCCACATTCACCTTCAAACCGGAGATAACTTGGAACCAAATCAAAACACATCTCAAATATCTCATTTAGGTCACCTCTGCATCACAAAACACAAGAGTATCATCCGCGGACATCAAGTGAGAGATCTACAACTAACTAGTAGCATCCCTACCCACCCTAAAGCCTCTTAGAAAACCCAAATCCACAGCCCTTCTCATCAATCTAATGATAGTCTCCATTACAATAAGGAACAAAAAAGGCTAAAGCGGATCTCCTTGTCTCAAACCCCTCGAACTAGGGAAAAATCCCGTCGGGACACCATTCACAAGAACAGAGAATCGAGCACTAGAAATACAAACCTGAATCCATCTCCTCCATCTCACACCAAATCCCATCCTCTCCGTCAAATAGAGAAAGAAACTCTAGCTCACATGATCGTACGCCTTCTCAATGTCCAATTTGCAAATAACACCAGGAACCCCATTACACAATCTGGAATCCATACATTCGCTAGCTATAGGGGCTGAGTCCAAAATCTGACGACCTCCAACAAAAGCATTTTGAGAGTCAGAAATACCGCCATCCAAAACTTTTCTTAATCTCGCTGCAAGAACCTTTGATTAGGCTCCCTTATTCGAGCCTTCTAAGGATTTTCCCTCCCTTCCTCCAAGCGTTCTCATTTTTAATGGGAATTAAAAGGGGTTTAAAACTAGCATGCTATAGGAATTAGGGGCCCGTTTGGTACGCGTTGTGTTCCCGGGCGTTTTGTTTTAGCCTAAAATAGAACAAGTGTTTTGTAATGGGGCATTCTGAGTTGAAAACGAAACATGTTTGGCGACGAAAATTTGCAGTGAAAATTTTGGAACAGAAATATGGTAGAACATGTTTGCCTGTTCACAATTTTTACTTTCTCTGCAAATAGAATCATGTTCAATAATATTTTATAAAAAATTAGAAATCAAGTTCAGTAATTATGATTTTGATTTTGCAAAAATTGCTTATCACCCATCTATGCAAATATCCTTCTTTGCAATTCTTACCAAAGAACATGCCAACAGCAAGAAAAGAAAACCAACAAACCCATCAAACATCTATATATATATATATACACACACACACACGTCTATATATAGGTGCGAACCATCTTTGTATCTTCTGTTAGTGAACCAAAATTGCTTGTGGATGCGAACCAAAATTGCTTGTTGATTTGTATATAGTTGCGAACCAAAATTGGGTCTCCCTCTCTAAAAAAAAAAAGTTTAATCTGGGTTTGATTATATGGGTTTGATTATAGTGATTACAGAGAGATATGAAAGTGAGTGAGTTTTAGAGAGAGAGAAGACCCAACAAAAAACCCAGAAAACCCAAACTCAAGCAAAGCCCCAAACGATTCCGGTGGTCTGAAATTCGTCGGCATCGTCTTATCTTCATCCAGATAGAGAGAGAAAGCGGTGCTGATAGAAAGTCTGGTGGTGGTGTTTTCCGTTGTCGCCAGTGGGTTGTGTCTTCCATCATCGTCGGTGGGTGGGATGAGATGATGGGTGATGGTAGGGTGAGAATGGGTGTCACCGGCAGCCTCTGCTTCCAGTTCATGGTCGGCGGATCGCCGCCCAACCCGTGGGAGGATTTCCAGTCCAATCGCAGAGGTTAGGGTTTGGTTGCCTTTAAATCGCCAGAGGTTAGCGCTTCAGAAGAGAGAGAAAGTGCAGAGAAAAATGGGCCAAAATGTTTCGTCCGCCACAGTAGCCGCATAGTGCTAGCGCATCCAAAAACATCTATTTCTTGTTTCAGGTTTTGGGCCCATTTTATGAAATGTTCTGGTACTGTTGGCTATAAAACAAGTGCACACAAACATAAAGTGGGCCAAAATATAGCTACTGTAGAGGGCCTGGAACAGAATAAGACAATACAGAACACATACCAAACAGGCCCTAGATGCCTCACTTTTTACTCCCTATTTCAATCATTACATGATTTATAGATGTTCATCATCATAAAAGTCTACGTGGGCGTCAAAGAATTGAATCCAAAGTAATTAGAATGGCAGTATCTTTTGGGGCATATTTTTGTACTTAGTGACATTTGATGTTTCAAATTTTACATCAAGCACAACTTTCAGTGATGAATGCTAACATACAAGATTTATGTCATATGACGTGGGTGAGAGTATGAGAGCAGTTAGCTTTGTGCAAATAACGTCGAATGTTAGGTATTTATCATTTTTCTTCTTACAATATCATGATGTTAGAAATGATTTAAATCAAGGGCACATCTAGTCTTCCTTTTATGACAAGAATAAAAAACACTCGAGAGCATCAAGTGGGGACGGAATCACTTGTAATATGTATCATGGGAGGAAAGGGTGGTGCTCTTGAGCTGTTGGGAGAGATTGATTGCCCTTGTATTCTCAATTGCTTCATTTCAAGGATTTTTTTTTTTTTTTTTTTCACTAACATTGTATTTGGAGCTCCAAAATCCATGCATGATTTCAATCTGGGGAACATACAATCCTCATTTCTTTTAGGGTTTAAATCATTAAATTGTGTGTATGTTCTGGGTTTGATTGGGTTGTATATATATTTAAACCAAATGGGTGTTCTGTGTATTTGTTCTAGGTTTGATTAGGTTGTGTGTGTATGTATATATATATATATATATATATATATATATATATATATATATATATAAGCACCAAGTGGGTGTTTTACATATATACACACAAATGTATCATTTGACAACCCAAAAAAAAAAAAAAAATAGTCTGCTGAATTTCTTCTCTCATACCTTCTCAAATACAATCACCAATTAAACCCAAATCAATCACAATAATCAAAAACCCAAATCAATCGCCAATTTAAAATGATCAACAAAGAATCCAAACCCCGAAGTAGATATAAAGATGATTCAAACCAGTATATGGTAGAAAGACTTGTTGTTTCCGATTGAATTCACATAGAGTTGTAATCGGAAAGGTCGGAGCTTGAACTGAAAAAGGGGAGCATGGTGGGGTTGGTTTGGGTTGAAGAAGAGAGAGTGGGTTGGGGTGTGAATGGAGGTGGTTTGAGAGAGTAGTGATACCATGTGGAAGAAGAATTGGAGATAAAGAAAGATGGATTTTGTGTTAGCTTAGTTTGGGGGTGGAAGTGATTGGAGCCAGCCGCCGGAATAGTGACGAAGATAGAGGGGGAGGGGAGAGAGAGAAATAACATAGGAGTATACAAATTTGTTAATTTAATATATATAAAAAGCTTTTTGTTATGACAAACCCAACGAATCTAGGATAGAATCAAGAATCACGACAGAAAAGTAAACACACCACACAAAGAACACGAAGATTTATACGTGGTTCGGCAACAACCTACGTCCACGGTTGAGATCCAGCGAAAGTCTTCACTCTCTGTAGAATCGGAGATTACAAGTTTTTAGCCCCTCATTGTGTTTCTCTTCGAATTTCAAAGTCTCTCTCTTGTACCACTCCAAACCCTAAGGACCCTTATATATCGGGCCACAAGAGACTAATTAGGGTCCACGACCCATGAGCAAAAACGGGTCAAAAATTTTCCTCAGGGCCAAGCCCCCGAACTCCCAAAGCCTTGGTGGGCTTGGGTCCACACAAAGCTCATCCAACGGGTCGCAACGCAACCCGACAACAAGTTCGGGCCACAACATCACACTTTTAAATAAACATTAAACATGGTGGTCAAATTTGTCATTTCAAATATCACTTAACAGCCCCTTCACGGAATGGGGTAAAATGATCACTTTTATTAGTTGCGGGGGTTATTTGTTATTACAGGGGGTTATATGATGTTTTTAGAAAGTGGAGGGGTTTTTTTATGATTTTAACCCTTTATTTAATCAAACAAAGGGAAGAGACCATTGTTGGTCTCAAATTCTTCTTCAATTTCCTCATTCTGAACCATTCTACTATCTTGTTTTTCACATATCCATATGTATGCATATAAGTACAGGTATTTATATATTTATTTTCATGCAAATATGGCACATTGTATACTTAGATATTTACTTCCCCTGTATTCTTCCATTAAATATTGCAGGGGACTTACGAGAAAGGAACAAGAGATGAGATTGAAGAGTTTCTTTATCAGTTAGTAGATGTCAATGGTGATGGAATCCTGGGGAGGTAGAACCATAAACTCTTAATATGATTTGACCTAGGGTAGTCGTTAGGGATTCTTTTCTCTTATACAGTTTTTATAGATTGATTCTAGTAAAAGAAATATTTTTTTCTATGCGATTTAGTCTCCTGAATAGCTGTTCCTTGAATAGGGACATGCCTAAGGGAGTTAAGCTAGTTATTTGATATTTCTGTGCTTTATAGTTTAGTTTCAGCTAAAAGAACTCTTAAGGAATTTATGTAGTGAGTTAAGGGTGGATGCAATTGAAATTATGAAGTATTATACTGAAGAACCAACTATATTTTATTGTTTTAAAATGCTAAAAGTTTTAGTTTATTAAGTGGTAGTTTATTACAATGCAAAAGATTAAAGATAAAGGTGAGCAGGAAAAAGAACAACATTAACATCTATTGACCAGGACTATTTCTCATAAGTGTGAGCACTGCATTGTCTTAATATGCAAGTACAATAGGTGACCACATTTTTTCCATCTTAATTGACACTCAGCTCTGTAAAAAAACTCATTGTTGATCAGCAATTTAAATTTAGTTTGTAATTCATTTCAATAGCCATCCAGCAATTTCACAACCAGCATTCTTGGGATATTTATTTATTTATGATAAATAAGCAATTCATTAAAAAAGTGTTCAAAAGGGGAACGCGTCCCTACAAAACCACAAAAACCTGGGAACCCTAAGGCCCTAGGGAAGCCAAAAACTCAACAATCTCCTCAGCAGAAGAGTCTACCCGAACCCCAAAAATAGAGAAAGCTAATAACAGAAGATTTCAGAACACTGATGGAAGATTCCTCTCCTTCAAAGGATCTTCCATTTCACTCCCTCCACAAACACCACCAAAGGCACAAAGGCGCCATCCTCCAGAACCCTCGAGCCTGTGCTCCCACCCAACCCCCTCTCCAGGTGTCCATCAAACCTCTCGTAGATCTAGGCATGACCTAATAAACTCCAAATAAACCTAGCAAAAGGTTCCAACAATCAACCGCCATTGCACAATGCAAAAGAAGATGATCAACCGACTCGCCATTGCACTTACACATGCAACACCAATTTACCGTGATAAGCTTTCTCCTTCTTAAATTATCTAGCGTCAAAATTTTACCCTACACAACCGTCCAAGCAAAAAAGGCCACTTTCAATGGCACCTTAGTACGCCACACTGCCTTCCAAGCGAATACCACCCATCCGAGTCCAAAAGGCATCCGAAGAAAGATCTCACACTAAACATTCCCCTAGCAGAAGAAATCCAAACAAGAGAATCCCTACCTCCTCCCCGGATCACCTGGCTATACAACAACTCTAAAAAATCAAAAACATCATCCATCTCCCAATCCTGAAAAGATCGCTGAAAAAGCACATCCTAAACCGGTCTCCCGCTATTAAGGCGATAACAGTCAGCTTCCAAGACATGCCTATCCACCGCAATCCTAAACAGTCTAGGGAAAGAGCATGCTAAAGTGCAGTCTCCACACCACACATCCTCCCAAAACCGAATCTCCCCACCATCATGAACTCTGAATCTGATATGCTTAGAAAACTCATTCAATCCCTTCCGAATGTCTTTCTAAACCCAGGAATAGACACCACAACCGAGCACCCCCCCCCCCCCCCCCCCCCCCCTTTCTTCCCAAAGCGACACAATATCACCCTTCTCCATAATCTATCCCGCTCAATACCAAACCTCCACAACCACTTACCTAACAAGGCCCTGTTAAAAGGCAACAATCACTCAATCACAATCCTCCAAACTTAACAGGCTTACGCACCTGCTCCCAACGAACCAGATGATACTTAAACTCATCCCCCAAACCTCCCCATAAAAAGTTCCTCTGAAGTCTTTCAATACAAGCAACAATTGAGGATGGAATCTGGAAAAGTGATAAATAATATGTGGGAATGCTCGACAAAGTGCTTTTCAACAAGGTAACCCACTGAACACTAAAAAGACCCAAAATGAGACTCCAACAGTTATGGGCCACAAGACAATGTAAAAGAAGTTGATCCCCGGACTCTTCATCATTCTTATACAAACAACACCGATTGATAATGATTTGTCCTCTCCTCCTCAAATTGTCCAGAGTCAAGATCCTACCCCAAGCTGCAGTCCAAACAAAAAAGGTCACCCTAAGAGGCGCCTTTGAATGCCAAACCGTCTTCCACGGGAAAGTGGTACTGTGAAACCCAGAGAGACAGAAAAAGAAGACCGGACCTAAAAAGTCCCCTGCGCAGAAGGCACGCAAGTCAAGGAATCCGAACCAGTACTGCGCAGAAGGCACACAAGTCAAGGAATCCGAACCAGTACCATCCACCTCCTGTCTATACAAGAGAGTCAGCAACCCAGTAACGTCATCCAACTCCCAATCCTGAAAGGATCGCCGGAACCGCACATCCGAAGACAACCTACCGTTATCAAGACAGTAGCAGTCAACAACCAAAGCATGTCTATCATCAGCAATCCTGAACAACCTTGGGAACAAACAAGACATTCACTTTCAAACCCGAGACTGCTTGAAAACAGATCAACACCGACCTCAAATATCTCATCCGAGACACCTCAGCCTCGCAAAAGACACGAGTATCATCTGCAAACAAGAAGTGAGAAATCTCTAACTGATGCATAACATCCCTTCCCACCCTAAAACCCCTGATGAAACCCACCTCCACAGCCCTCCCAATCAATCTACTAAGCCCTTCCATCACAATGATGAACAGAAGTGGTGATAATGGATCTCCCTGACGCAAATCTCGCGAACTACCAAAGAAACCAGTCGGGACCCCATTCACCGACAATGAGAATCTCGCTTAAGAAATATTGAACTCAATCCAATTCCTCCGTTGTCCCCCAAAACCCATCCTTACCATCAAGTATAGCAAAAAACTCTAACTAACATGATCATAAGCTTTCTCCACATCCAACTTACACAAGACTCCTGGAACCCCACTCCTTCAATCTATCATCAACACACTCCCTAGCAATAAGAACAGAATCCAAAATCTGACGCTCTCCTATGAAAGCATTATGAGATTCCGAAATAACCTCATCCAAGACCACCCTCAATCTCAAAGAAAGAACTTTGGCTATTAGTTTGTAAATGCATCCCAACAAACTAATAGGTCTAAAGTACTTCACATCTATGGATCCGCCCTTCTTCGGAATGAGGGCTATAAACGATGCATTAAGAGATTTCTCAAATTTAGGCACGTATTTGAGATTTGGGACATAGGACAACTTTAGGCATAAAAAAAGAAAAACACAAGCAGGATATTAGTTGAATATTCATGTCTTTTAATTAGCTTAGTTAATTATGGACTCCGCTAATTTCAATTGAAAAGAGCCTTGATACCATTGCCACTCTTGCTGATAATAATGATAATGACTATTATTTGCTACTATTCCTGCTTGTTGACTTCTTTTTAGTTGATGAAATCACTTACTTCTTGGGGTGTATATTAGTCTGTTTTGAAACTATAACTTGTGAACATAGTCTTGTTTACAGTTTAGTTTTGTCTAATTAAATTACTTGTCTCCTTTACAAACCACAACGTTTAGTGGCATGGCACTGCAGGCTTTATGTTGTGCATTTGTGTTATTTTGAATTCACGGACTAGAGCATCTACCCGTTGCTTTCTTCCAGCGACAAATTTATAAAAATCAAAGAGGATCCTTGTGTTTTAATATTTGAATTGTGTTCTCAAAATGTGAAAGCCTTGAAAGGAGGCTGTCTTTGGATCACTTGTTGTTTTGAACCTGAAAATTTTGAAACAGAAAAAATATTTGGTGTTTTATCATATGGCCCATTCAAAATAAAAGAAGGGGAATGAATAATTTCTAGAAACAACCAGTGATATATATTTTTTATTTTTGTTTTTAATTTTAATTTATCTCATCGAAAATAAAAAAATAAAAAAGAATTTAAATTGGTTTTTTTTTTTTTTTCGAAAGATCGAATTTAAATTGGTTGTTGGTGCCTTCGTTATTGTTTTTTAAGACAGGTTATTTATGATGAGAGTTAAATTATTTTTAGCTATTATACTGAATAGATAAGCTTCTGGCCAACTTCCTTGCTTCCTTCTGTTAGCATTAATTTACTCGACTTTGGGAATCAACTGCCAGATCGGATCTGGAAGTCGTGTTAACTTCAATGGTTGATGATATATTTTCTCAAAAAATCTCTGAACCTGGATCAAGTTCACATCAGGACATAGTTGGTGTATTCCTCAATGCTGTGAATTTCTCAAAGGCTGATAAAGGATGTGCTGAAAACAATATATCTTTTGAGGATTTCAGAAAGTGGTGTACTCTTGTACCATCTGTCAGGAAGTACCTTGGAAGTCTGTTGATGCCATCTGATCCAGGTTTCTAATTATTAATTTCTTTTTGTAATTCTTCAGTTTCTGTTCATTCATATAACATTTTACTTGATAATTATTAAATTTTTGATAATGAATTGACATATGTTTAAAACATAAAGGAAGAGAGAGAGTTGCCAATGGGAAAGTAGAGACTTTCTCCAATTAAAACAAAGCCAGCAAGAAGAAAACGAGGACAAAACAGAGAATGCTGCTACAAGCTCCCCTCCCATAAAAACTGGTAGAGAACAGTGGCAGCTGCACCCTTGTCCTACATTAAAAACTCTCAAAAGGGACCTAAGGAATATAGTCTCCTTTTGAGAATTATTCTGTATTTTTTTTTTAGTAATAATTTTTCAGTAACTTTGCCTCTGTTGGACAGAATTTCAGCTTCTCTATTCCCCAATCTATAAAATCCAAAAGCATGAAGAGTCCAAAGAGGAAGCCATACTACAGAATTTTAGTAACAAGAAGAGAATCTCTGTGAACTATTCTTATTACGCCTAGCCAGTGATGTGTGTCAATTATAAAAGATCACACGTAATAGAACGAATCCTTGTAGGATAGGGCTATATTGAGGGTGTCAAACCTCAAGGACCGTGTTAGTATCGTTAAGTGTAAAATTATTCCTTATTAGATTCAAAGAGAGAAAATTGAGTTGTTTATCTACTTCTAAATTGCAAAGAATTGAAATTAAACTAAGCTAATGAGAATATGTATCAAGATAATGGGGACTTGGAGATTGACTTCATCACTGGCCTCATAACATGGTTAATTGTCTCAATTATGGGAAATTCACACTAATGCATATTTGGGAATCAAGTGGCTACAAACACACTTCAATTCAATTAAGAATGTGTGTACGAACAAATACTAATCTATAACTCATCTTCAGTTGACATGAATTGTCTACCTACTAATTACTATAATCTACCATGCAGTAGAACTCGTCTTCCCTAGGCAATTCTTATCAAAACATTCATTCATATATTCGTTAAGCGCCATTACATGATAACCACTTCTACCATTAAGAGAAGCCCTAAGCCGTCAATTTCTCACAATAGAAGAGGTTTGAATCCAATTAAAACAAGATTAATTCTAAGACGAGATTAATTTCATCAAAACTGATTATACTCATTAAAACCCAGTTACTTAGTACAACTAAGTCAATTGCTCACAACCATGCAATCAATATACATAGAAAAATCCCCAAAGTTAAGAACAATCAAACCATGCTACTCGGACTAGGGTTACATCAATCCCCTAAGAAGGAATTTAGCTATTCATGGAGAAGGAAGATATCATCGTTGTTGCAAAAATCTTCTCCATGGACCGCCAATTAGAATCTTCAAAACTCTAAAAGCCACCAAGAGATAGAAGAAGAGGAAGAAGAAGCTTCAATAAGTCTTCTCATCTTCTTTTATAGTGGTGAACAAGTCCTAATCCCCCTTGGATGGGCCTTACAGCTTTTGGGGACAATTAGGCCGTAAGGAAACGAAGAAGAGAGATTTTACAACATTCCCGCAGCTTTTGGAAACTTCCTGGTGGTTTGTACTCAAGCGTCAGCTCTGGGTGCTTGTGCTCGAGCTCTGGCTTCTGGTGCTCGAGCATTAGGCTTAGTGCTTGAGCTTTTTGATCTAAAATTTCCGAAGCGTCTTTTCATTCAACACTTAGTTTTTATTCTTGATTTTCTTTGATTAGTGCTTGAGCATTGAAGAGCTGTGCTCGAGCACAAAGAGGTTGTGCTCGAGCTTTGAGGCCTGAATTCCTTCAAATCTACCCGGTTGAGTCCTAAACTGGCTCGGAAGGTCCGGAACATTTCCATAAGCATCGGAAACACCATTCCAAGCATCAAAACCCTGGATTTGTCCATATCTTCGGGTAAAGACCTACAAATAGCAAATAAAAAAAAAAACAGACATAAGAACCGAGATAAATGAACCGCTAAGGCATTAACATATGCACGTTTAAGGGCTCAAATATGAAATATTCAGCGCTTATCAGCCAGCCAGTAAGAATAATGTAATCACCTTCCACCCAAATGTGTCTACAACCAAGAACCTTTGCTTCCGAGCCCTTCAGGCATGCTAATAAACTTTGCTTTTGATGGATTGCCATGGTACATAGAGACTCATAGAAGGGAAATGACCTCTACATCATAATACGTAGCAAGCCATAAGCCAACTTATTGCTTCGGTTACATGGATCCATCTTTTTCAGTAAGCTCTTTGCCCTTTACATATACTTCTTTTTTTTCACATATAGAACTCATTCTTGAGTATCCACTGCCTTTTGGCCACTTGTTTAAAATAATAAATCAATCAGCCTTGGCAGGCTGCTGCATTATGCATCAGTGGTGTGTGGAAAGATTGATACAGCTAAAATGCTGTACTTGTGAGGCTGGTGAGATTCCTCAGGTTAAAGCAACTGCTTTTGAATCCTTTTCATTTTTAAATGTCAGGGAGGTTTTCCGATGTATTACACTTGTAAACTTTTTCAGAGATTTGAGTTGCATAGAAGTTCTGTTTTGTAGCTCCTATATAATTCACATGTACATGGGTTGTGTACTCACTGGCGCTTTTGCTTATGATCAAATAGTAATTATCAAAAGACAAGGAATTTCAACACATTCTGGCCACTATTTCCGGACATCGGTGCCTTCTCTATCGATGAGTGCTTCTGCTACTTAATTTTATTATGAATTTTGGAAGTGTATCGTTTATCGATGAAGAATCAATCATTCAAGTTGATCTGATCAAAATGATGGTCCTTTGATAGTTAAGGACACGAATGTGATGAAAATACTGAGAAAATAATGTTGCTTTGGTCTTAATTTTGTTAGTGGATGTATTCTGGCAACATCATATTTGTAGTTTAAAACTAAAGTTTGATGTTAATTGGGTGAAAATTATAAGACAAAGTAATAAATGCAATCCTGTTTTGAATAATTTAAAATTTGCAAGTGATGCTGTTCTGTTACCATTGAAAACAATTCTACACTTAAAGAGTCCTTTTTCCGTTTGGATTATTATTAAAAAAACAGAATCATTTATGAAAATGGTCTATAGAACCGAGCAGCAGAGTACAAGATTATAATGGTTATACGCCATCATGAACCAATAGGATAGAAGTTGCACAAAGAAAGCATTTATATGACATTAGTCTCAATATTTGCTGTTACAGAGAATTTGACTTCTTATTTTAATATAATTTTCTTTCTTATCATATTACTGTAGAATTCCTTAACAAGAATGCACAGCTTTTCATATGCATATAATCTTATTGTTTGTCATTTTATATTTTAAACTACTGTAATATTTACTCGATTCTTGGAGATAGCATGTATTTTTGGACCTTATTTAAGCAATGTCAAACTAGCATGGCATTAAATATATTTTAGTGCGGGATTTTGCTATCTTCTTATGGATTATTACTTTTGGCAGGGAGACCTGGTTCTCAAGTTCCACTTCTACTGCATTCGGAAAATATTGATTCTAATTCGATATTATTGAGGAAGGAATATGCTTGGCACATAGGAGGTGCCCTCTCTCACCAAGAGCTGGATGAGTGGAAACTTATGTATCATAGCGAATACAATGGCTTAAGTTTCAACACATTCTTGGGCAACATATCGTGAGTATCTTCCTTCTTTTGTTCACTTTCTTGGGTGCTCCCCTGATGGATCTAAACCATCATTTTATGTGATTTTGTTAGAGTATTCTCTTTTTGTGTTGCGTGTATTTAAACCATTCTATTGAGCATGTGTATGTATGTTCTTTCATCTTTTTGCATTAATGTTCTCATATGAGGGTTTTGAAGTCTGCTGGTGTGTTTTGTGTTCTATTTATCAAATCGCCCTTAGTTTCTTCACACTTTGTTGATTCCTAGCCTGGCCTAGTGTAGTTTTTTCTTTTTTCATTTAGTATTTTCCGGAACGAAAGAGAAAAAAAAAAAGAATGAGAGCATGGTAGAAGAACCATAGAAAGATGAAAGAAACAAATTGGTTACTAGTAATTCAATAGGAAAATCCTTTGCATGCCTCCTACGGCTGTTTTGGGAAAAGCTTTCTTGTTTTTTCTAAATCTTTATTATTTTTATTGTAAAGGTTTTTAAGTTGGCTCAGACATTTGTTTAACAAAAGCTTCCATTAAGACATCGTTTGAAAATGGATCTCGTGTTGCATATGACTCTATTGTGGTAATGTAAGAATTCAATAGTAGGACCTTTCATCGTGGTATATGCACCATTTAGTGTATTGTACCAAAAACTAAGCTTCTTCTGTATTGGGTGTATATATAAGTACTTCCGGTATTAAAGCTCGGCACTTGTAGACAGGGGCGGCTCAATATAATTTGAGGCCTTAGGTAAAAAAAACATAAACGTGGCCTTTTAATACGTAATATTATATATATATATATATATATATATATATATATATATATATATATATATATATATGAACGAAAGATTGTGACCGGTGCAAGTTAGAAAGATGAGAAGGAAGTGAGACTTTGGTGGGGGCCATACTGCAAGTAAGACTAGGGGGCCTTCCAGAAAGACACGTGGTGAATTGGAACAAAAGATCGGAGCGGATAGAATAAATTAAGGCGTGAGGGCGAATGAAACAAGGATTTTTCACAGGAAGATGTAATATATTAATATCAAATAATAGTTAATAAATTTATGGCAACTTTTGTTGGAAAATTTTAGTCCAATGCTCCAACAAAATTTTCAATCATTTTAACTTGTGGAGAGGAGGAAAAAAATGTTGAGGAGTAAAAAAAAAATAGGTGACGAATTGGGTTGGGGGGACAAGTTAATAAGAGAATATGAAAAGTTGAAAAAAGTCCTACCTAAATATGGGAGAGAATAAAAATTTAAACATGGGAGAGAATAAAACTGAATTTAGATGAGATGAAATGGTGAGACTGTAATAAGTGCATACGAGGAAAAAAATAAATTATTAGTGGAGGACACAAAAGAACGCTGTAATGAGAGGAGGAAAAAACAAGAGGAAAGGGGGAGAGTTAATAAGAGAATATGGAAAGTTTATCAATCCTAAATTCCTACAATTGTTGGTTAGATATATATTTAATAATTTATACCTTTACTCGTACCCATTCATGTGTTGGATGGAAGAATTCTACTTCTTTATGTTTTAATTCTATTAATAATCTAGATGTAATCTTCCTAATTTATCCTGCTTTGTCTTAATACTTTTTCAGAATAACATATCGCATGGGACTTAATTGAAGTATTAGAAGTATAAATTCATTGTTGCAAACCACTAATTTTTCTTGATCACGATCACCCATATTTTTTATTTTGCCAGTTGCATTAGAGGAGAAAATAAAAAAGAAAGGAAAAAAAAAGAGGTGAGATAATAATAGAAATGAAGAGTTTTAATAGAGGTGGATGAAAAGTTTTAGAACGAATTAAATTTGGGTTAATTGCACTGACACAGCCCTAGAGGTATTGGTCAATGTCACTTAGATGCAAGTCAACGAATTTTGGACAATTAAACCCCTTCAAGTTTGAAAATCTTGCATCCACACCTCCTCTCGACATCTGACACACAAAAAAGACCTAAATGTCCTTTGACTTGTCAATAGTTTTTTTTTTTTTTTTTGTTAAAATCATGAAATGACCTAAATACCCCCTTTAGGTATTTGCTTTCCCAAATCGTTCCCAGTTTTAATGGCACAACAATCACTTTTAGTGAGGGCCAAATTCAAGCGACAACCACTTTCAGCGAGGTGATGTGATACCAGCGATGGAGACTTTGTGGTCAACGAGGATGACCAGAAATTCTGACGATGACGAATAAGAAGAGAAAATTCTGACGGTGATGTCGTTTGTTCATTGCCGTTTGGTCGACGATGGTGATCAATGGTGATTTTAGGCTCCGACGATGAGTGTTAGTGGTTTTAGATACATATACAAGTTTATATCTTGAGTTTGTGTGTGGCTCTGAAACTAATTTCATCACCGGATCGAGTCTTTGAGGTTTGAACCCATAATGGTTCCATTGAACGCATCGAATCGGGTGGAGAATTTGGACGCATCGGATAGACTCGCTGGAGAGGAGCTTGTAGTGGTAGGCATTGATGTCAACGTCACTGTTAAAGACGGAGACGAGGCCCATCTGTGATGACCATGCGCTTCTTCAGATTCTTCCCATGCTTGGGGCAGAGGCTGTGGTGGTGTTGGGTTGGCCATGGCTATTTCTTCTTCTTTTTCCTTGTGGTTGTGGTGGTGTTTGGGATTGTTTCTATTTTTTTTTTCCCCCTATTGTGATGGTGGTTTTTTTTTTTTTTTTGGTGGTGGTGGTGGTGGTGGTAGTGTCTTGTTGTGATGGTGTTTGGGGGTTTTTTCATTTTTACTTTTCTTTCTATTGTGGTGGTGGTTGTGGAGGTGTTTGGAGGTGTTTGGGTGTAGTGGTGGTTATGGTGGTGTTTGGGGATGACAGAGAGGGATTAAAAAGTGGGGGAGACGCATATACAGAGGAGATTTATGAGGTTTTTTTTTTGGTCATTTGGTATTTTTTCATATTTTTTTAATATAAATGAATTAAATAGTAAAGGGCAATTGTGACATTTCAACTGAGAGGGGGTGTCATTGTCCAAAAAGATGTTGACCAGCCTTTAGGTGACATTGATCAATACCTCAGGCTGTCAATGCAATTAACCCATTAAATTTTTTGGGCCCACTATTACATCTATAGTTGGAGTCTAACCATATATGGAAATAAAATTTTTAGGAAGTCTAATAATATAAGGAAACCATAATTTTTTGGGTGGGGCCTTAGGCTACCGCCCAAGTCATCTAAGGCTCCAGCCGGCCTGCTTGTGGAGTTTGAGAAGTAATGTTTAATTGGTTGATACTAGTTTTCCTGCTACAGTTTTTTCAAACCATTATTAGTTCAGTCTTAAATTATGGTGCCATCTTTCTCATTCAGCACATTTAACTTTATTTTCTTGCAGTTATTCAATAATACTATTAACAATTATGATGAACATTCTTGAATTTTTAAAAATTCTTGGACTATATACAATCTTCAACCGCGCAAATCATGCTCTTGTTTTTCTTACATGTATGGTCTATTTCCTCTTAAGTTGTTATTGCTTGTTTCTCTTACAGTTCATTCCTGAGCATTGAATTTTTCCTGCATGAGATCGTTTAGGAGCCTTAGGGCTGGACTTAAGTAGGCTCATGAGTCATGTCGTTGCCATAAAATTTCTTCCTTCCTATTTTCTTTCCACACCTCTTTCTTCCTACCAAACAAAACATCAAAGAAACTACATTGAAAAAAAAAAAAAAAAAAAAAAAAAAAAAAAAAAAAAATCCCATATTTTACTGGAGAAAACTTCTATAGTACTGCACCTTTCTTTACAAATTTTCATCCATCCAAAAATGGACGGAAGAGGGGGGAAGAAAAGTGCAGTATTATAGAAGTTTTAAATTAAATACTATTCTAAATTACACAAGTTTTAAATTAGAGTACTATCCTCTATGAATTAAAATATTATAGATATTACTGGGCATAATGATAAAACAATTAGAAATTTTATCTTTCCTTCTCTCATAAGAAAGATAATAAATTGTGAGCTTATTTCTCTTCTTTTCCATTGAACCGAAAAAAAAGAAGAAGTCTTCCATTCAATCGAAAAAAATAAGGAAGGAAAGACACAATCTCTTCCTTAGGGATGTCTATCCAATTTTTTTCTTTCCTAATGAAAGGAGAATAAAGAAAATATAAATGCTAGAAAAAACACAAGATCGAATGAATAAAAGTGTAAAGGCGACTCATTCATAGCTCTGGTATTTATATACTAAAAAGAGCACATGTAAATATTACAAGAAATGAAATTGAATAAAATCATTGCATATTCTAAGCCTAAACATATGCCTAAATAAAGTCAAAATCCATGATTCTAGCCTAAAATATCTCGGCTAATATGGTAAGTTACATCCATAATTTTAGCCTATAATATCTCGGCTAACAATGCTAAATTTTGTTATTTTTAATTCCAGTTTCTGGGTTGCTGCTACTATCTTTTAACTAGGAGTTCAGTGGGTAATTGTTCAATTGAACTGCAGAAATGACAAGGTGCCCACTGTGTTAATCATCAAGGATAAAGAAGGTTACATATATGGAGGTTATGCATCTCAGCCTTGGGAGAGGCATGCTGATTTCTATGGTGATATGAAGTCTTTTCTCTTTCAGCTCTATCCCATGGCCTCAATTTTCAGGCCTACTGGAGCAAATAGTAATTTGCAATGGGTAAGTCTGAACCTTATGTGAAGTTAAGGAAACAATGTATTTTTGCTTTAAATTTTACTTTATATAAATTAATCTCCACCCTCCTTGATAAATATAACCCAAAAAAGATTCTGAAACGGACAATCTAGTTATGGGCATCAATATAAATAAATTAAGCACCGAGTGATTTCTAATTTTCTTTCCCGATATCTCTCGGTAACTGTTGATATTTTAACTGAATAGAAAAAGGAAAACATGCTTGGTTTAGCTTTTTAGAATATTTTACGCTCAGAAAAAAAAAAAAAAATTCAAGTATGGTTAAAAAATAGAGTTTTTGAAAAACTGAATTAAATAAATGTGCAACTGTTCTATGTTTTCACTGTTCTTGAAAACTATTTTTAGATAACTGAACTGAAAAAGCCATAAAGCTGCACCGCACACTGCACTTTTTGAGGACTTCTTCCAACTGGTTACAGTTGCATAGTTTGATCATCATCATCATTACCATCTTTAGCCTTTATCCCATAGAGATGGGTCGGCCACAGTTGCATGTTTTGATGGTAGGGCTAGTTGCCAGAGCTGTACTGCCATGTCCAATGACAAATGAATAACACTAAATGGCTCTGGAAAAGCCAATAGCAGGGGCGGTAGCCTAGCCAAAATTTATTACCCATTACCACAAGAATCTGCGGTATAATTTTCTGGAATTGTGGTAAAACTTGTGCACGTGAAAAGTACATTTGCCCTCTTAAATGATTCAGCTGGAATGTGAGCCAGCTTAGGTTTTCACTTGTATATGCCAATTGGAATCCAATTGATTTTGAAGGTGGCCAAAGGACCTGGGAGTTCTTCGGAGATGAATTAGGCAGACTTTTAAATGCAACGAGGGGCTAAGCAAGCTCATTCATGTAGTAATATTAATTTGTAGGGACTTGTTGAAGCATATGGGACCTTGAATCTTAAGCAACATGCCATTGCATTGTACTTACGACTTGGATTGAACTTCAGTTGCCCTAGAGGTGTAACACTACTTATGAGCATTGAGATGTGAGGAACTACATTGATTTGTCCGACTTTTATTTTATTTTCTTTCCAAATATGTTTATTCATTTAAGTTTTTCCCACATGGATAAATGTGAGAAGATTCCTCATTTGTTCTTGATGACCTGAAAGGAAACATTTAGAATGGGCCACTATGCATTGGGTCTCTTATAAGTCCTGAGTTGTGATGCTGATGTGCTTTTTAAAATTCTTGGCAGTGTGCTGTGAATTTCACTTCAGATAAAATCCCCAACGGCATTGGTTTTGGAGGGCGAGTGAATCACTTGGGTTTGTTCCTTTCTGCAAACTTTGATCAGGTGCACACTTTTGCCTGCAGTACTTTTGGCAGTCCTTGCCTCTCGAAGACCAACCAAATATACCCAGAAGTGATAGAATGTTGGGCAGTTGTTCCAAAAGGAGCACAAGAAGAAAAACAGGATACGGTCAAAGGCAAAGCCACCGTGTTAGAGAGATTTAAGGAGGACCGCCATATGCTTAACATGGTTGGGCTTGCGAATTCAAGCGAGTAAACCTGGTGAATTCTAGAGTCGTATATTGTATTGTCCCAACTTTATCAGCTCTTCTGCAACTCATCAAGATATCATCAATATCATCTTACGGCACATGGGGATTCAAGTTTTGAACAGGCACGGGCTTGACAAGCTTGCAGGAGACGTTTCTCATGTGAACGTCCAGAGCAAATTTATTATGGATATTAATATTTATAGGGAACATTTCAGTCAAAAGGTTTGATTGTTTCTCCTTGATATCAAGCAAAAACTTGCAGCTCCTGTTATATAAATTGCCATTATGAATTAGGCAGTGCTCTTTCATAAGTTTGTTAAAGTCCTATTTTGCATCCCCATGTAGATGCAGCAATTCTGTGGTTTGTCTTCATTTTTGGGGGAATAAAAGAAAAAGGAAGGCAAATTGTGGTTTGCCTTAAAAACAGCCTTTTACTGTTATGATTTAATTGCAGCCGAGACGCTGCTCAGTTCTCAGGTTTGGCGGGATATCAGTTTTTGGAGAGATTACAAACCGAGAAATGATGCAACTTCGTCTTTCATCAGGCCATGTTTAGTCGGTCAACAAATTGATTGATTTAGTCAAAATATAATTAATTGTACAAAATAAAATCAAGAACTACGACCGACAACTCGTTTCTTTTACTTCAACTCAAGTGAAAGATGAAATAAACAAAACTCAATGTTGACTTGTTTAGGCAAATGAACCTCATTTTGAGCCAAAAGCCCGTCCCGGCTTTATCATGCAGCAGACAGAGACGAGCCATGTGAAAAGAAGGGTAAATTACATTCACTTCCCTTGAAGTTTTGTCAAATTGCATAGAGCATTTGAGTTTATCACTCCGTACTCCGTTGAGGTCTAGTCTGATGTGCGGTTTAGTGTGTCCGCTCAATGACTTTCCTCTTGTTAGATAAAATTTATTAAATGACTAAACTACCTTTCTCATTAGTCAAAAAGTCATTTCTTTCTCCTCTTAAAAATCCCCCGTCTTCCAATTCTCTTTCTAAAATCCCTCATCTGCCATTTCTTTCTCCCTCTAAAATCCCCACCAACTCCACCCTTCACTGTCATCATCAAGCCCAACACAACAATCCCTATATGTCAATTTCCTTCATATCGGATCAAACACCCAAAGAAATAATATAAGTACAGTCATTTTCTATTTATGAAATTCAAACGGATAATTTATATACCAAAAATACATATATGCATGTAGGGCTAGCAATTTCCTCCAACCCGTTGGGTTTCCGCCCCGTTCCGCTCCTAATGGTGCGGATTTGGTAGCTCTATAAGTGGGTTTGGGACGGATATGGTAAAAGAATTGAAAACCCGAAGCGGGTTGGCGGGGGTGGATTTAGTAATGCCCCCACCCCACCCCTGCCCCGACCCTGATTATATACGTATATATTTAATTTAAGTGTCCATTAATATATATATATATATATATATATATATATATAAAATTTAAGTGTCCATTAATATATTTTGACTAAATATTCGTTAGAATCACTACTTACTAAAATTCTACAATTGTGCATGTGATTCAATCTTCAAAGATTCAAGATCTCAGTATTCTATTCCAAGTCCAGGAATTAATTCAACAGTTTCAACTTTACCGCAATTAAACGAAGTATGCGGGGTGGAGTCGGTATTTTGTCTACCAGAGTAGGGGCGGGGATGGTATACCAATTATAAACCCGTCTCGGAGTTGGAGCGGAGTTGGTATGATGAATTTTTTAAAGGGGCGGAGTAGGGTTTAGCCAACTCCACCCTAACTCCGCCCCGTTGCCATCCCTATATGCATGCGTGTGTATATGTATGTATGTAAGAAAGTATGAGTTTGTTTGGCATCAATGGAACCTTTGACACGGAAGAAGAGAATTAGGTTAAGGAGTGGAGATTCAAGAAGATAGCAATGGTCGAAAGGGTTGAAACCCTAGATGCTGTTGGAGTAAATGATCGTTAACAAGGGTGTTATAGTGCGTTGTAGATTCTTAGACAAGACTTGTATCATTTAATGATGTCATGTGAAGCGTATGGCTAACATGAGACAAAAGATCTTCTTTCATGAGGGGAGTCGGGGAGTGGAGCATGACAAAAGATCTTTCTAAAGAGATTCTATTCAAAACTATTATATGCCCAAGGTCCAACATTGAAATAATTTAAGAGGTTTCCGAACTTTGTCCGTGTTGAGAGGAATGTAGATTTTGAAAGATTTGAAATAAAAAAATGTTGTGCGTATAGGGTTTCAGTCATAGGGTTTGACTATACCCTCCGTACAAGAAAGGAGAAAAGAGGGAGTGGGAGCTACGTGGTGGTGACGACGGTGGCAATGGGAGGAGGTTGAACAGGGGGAGTGGTGGTGGGGTGAAAACGGTGGCGGGAGGAGGTGGAGATGAAAGAGAGAAACGAGGGGGGGAAAAAAATAAAAATAAGGGATAAGATAAATAAAAAATAAAAAATAAAAAAAAAATAGGTTTTGCTGTTTGTGTAATATAGTATTTATTGAAAATATATGGGGTAAATGGGTAATATAGTCTTTTAGTTTGACATGTTTTTATTTTAAAAAAAAAATTATTAAATTAAACCAGGGTATAGAAGACAATTCATAGAATAAAAGGATGTACGCTCCACCATGCGAAGTTTGGCCGATTCGTCCCCAAACCTAAAGGGAGTTGATCATTAAAAGAATGGGAGAGGACAATAGTTTCCACTGCTATGTTACAGATGAAAATTGAACTATCTATGTGGCTGAGAGTCCTCACAGCTTAGGCACAACGACGCAATTATCAGGGATGCGCTCTACTACTGAGCTAATAGCCCGTCGTGCGAGCCTCCCACTGGGGGCCCGTTATGCCAAAAGCGAGAGAAACCCCATTCTTCTCTTTCCTTTTTTCGTCCCCATGTCGTCACAGGGAGGACATGGGACGAAAAAAAGGAGATCATGTCAACTTGTTCCGTTTATTTCACATTAACTGGTCATGTATCAGCAATTGGGTTATTGCCACTAGAAATCTAAGAGTAATTGGACTTATCAATTGATTCATAGAAATCGTGGTGCTACTCACGGCGACCCGGTCCGGAGTTCCGTACCCTCCCTTCATCCATGTGCGTAACTCATATATATCCCAAGGGTAACTCGTTTCAGAAGCTTCATCCAAATGAGTTACTTACCCTTCATCGCCTCTTACACTTGGGATTCTCTTATTTTCTTTTTCTTAATTCTTTTATTTTTATTATTATTTTTTTTAAAGATAAGTTGAGTTGTCTTCAAATTATCACACAATTACACAGCATCTGATATTATACCAAAATTGCTGCACAAGTAAAATAGACCAGCCCAAATCTGCACACACACACACACACACACACACATATATATATACAGATCTAGAACAACACTACTCTAAATTCACTCTCAAAACCCAAATTTTTTTTTTTTTTTTAACAAATTATCACAGCTACCTATGCAGCTACCAGCTCTACAAGAGACTATATCAATAGGTCGTTAAATCATAGCAAGGCACATAAGCAGAAACATGTATACTATGCAGCTACCAGCTCTACAAGAGACTATAAATAGGTCGTTAAATCATAGTAAGGCACATAAGCAGAAACATGTATACATAATATCATCAAAGTATGTGGCAAAGCTACCCAAAAAAAAAAAAAAAAGACTCCAAATAAATCAGCACATGAATGAACATCTCCACTGAAAATCCATTGACAATCACGTATGTGCTCCAACATAATAGATTATGAGAATGTAATAATAATCTGGCCAAATCAACATACAGACATATCTAAGACAGGACAACCCTAAATGTACAAAACAAACACATTCTAACAAATAAATCACAAAAACAAACACATTCTAACAAATAAAACCCTCTTTGGGCAACTCTAAATAACAAAACCCAGAAATAAACCCCTGATACAAAACAAGAAACCTACACTGTAAAATATAGAGGTTTATTTGATAAACTAGTCCGAATATGTAATGCACTGAAAACATCATCCATTTGAAAAAACCAACTGGATCTATAATTAAAAAAAACTCAAAAACAAACTATCAATAAATAACAAGGCACCCCCACAAACAAGAGGCTTAGAATTTCATCTCATTTCATAAACCATTCAATAATATAATGCAGTAAGAAAGTAATCCTCTATGAACAAGCAAATATTTTCATAGCTTTGTATCTAACAAAATCCTGGGGTATTTAATATGTAATCTTATATATCACACAATTCAAAATCCTCATAAGTGTAGATGCAAACTATGCCAGTAATCACATGCATTTAAGAGTAAACGAACTGCCTTCTCTCACTTAAAAAGGAACTCATTTACAACCAAGGTCCACAAAAGAGAAACATCCAGCAGTCAAACTAAGGCCATAACTCAATCAGGCACTCACTCACATCAAAGCAATTCCAACTTGTCATCCATCATTTCTTCATTAGAACTATGATTCCAGATAGTCCCCATTTTAGACCAAAAGATAAGACCTCAAAATGGCCACGAAAATCTCAACTTACACTATTTGATCCATTCTTGAACAAAAACCATAAAAGTATCGTAGCATGAAAAAATACTCAATGAAATCATAACAGACCAGAATCTCCAGTCTTCAACCAAAACTACAACAATAAGAGGAAAGAAAAACATGAAGTCCTTCTAATCACACTAAAATTTCCTCCTTTAACCAGAACAAATAATTAAAGAATGACCATACCATAATAGTTTCGGTTAACGTAAAGGGCATCACTCAGACAGGCAGCATTCCAAAATTTTATCCACCATATCTACATTAAAACTATGATCCCAGTTCTTAACACAAACTCAAAACATAGTCCCTATTTTAGACCAAAAGCTAATGGTTGTCATTAAGGAAACCTCAAAATGGCCACGAAAATCTCAACATACACTATTTGATCCACTCATCCATTCTTGAATAAAAACCACAATAGTTCCTGTTAATCTAAACAATCTCTATCTTCCAAAATAGAAAAAAACAAATACAGCCAATAATATAATCATAACCACATAATGTGCAAAAACTAATCATAGATGATACTTAATAAACTGGTTCTAACAAAATTAAACAAGAACACAAAAGGATTAATAATAGATCTCTCATATCCCTTTCTCAAATGAAAATCACAAATTAGCATCATAACAGAAACGAGTTCTTAATGAAACTATAAAATCTCAAGTACCGAGCAACTTTAACATCAAATTGTTCCAAGATACTCCAAAATTTAAACCAAACTAACAATACCGCATAAAGGGTATACGAAATAGTCCGACAAAAGAAGAGAAAAAAAAAAAAAAAACATCGAACAAAACGCATTACCATTCGACTCCATCACATTTAGTACCTCCTGGGGCCACCACCACCGTACCCGCCACCACGTCCGCCGCCGTAAGAAGGCAGTGGCTGCTGTGCCCCACCAGTTTCCTCCTTGACCGTGACCCCCGGCATCTCACCCATGCCGAGCGAAGCAAGCATTTCAATGGTCTCCTTATCGACCTCGATGCGGTCGATCTTGATGGCGGACTCGTCGGGGACAAAGTCCATGCGACGTTCTCTCTCCTCCTCCTGGAGCTTGAGCGAGATACCGCGAACTGGGCCCTTCTGGATGCGCTTCATGAGATGGGTGGAGAATCCGGCGATCTTGTTGCGGAGGCGCTTGGAGGGAATGATGGCGACTTCCTCCAAGATCTTCTTGTTCGTGTGGAAATCCAGAGTCATCTTCGAGTAGTAGCGTTCGATCACCTGGCGAGAGGACTTCTTCACAGTCTTGGTCCTTACGCGACCCATGGTTGGAGGAGATAAGGCGAGGAGGGGGTGCTAGGGTTTCAGAAAGAGGGAGAGAGGAGGCTGGGATTTCTCAATGAGAGTCTGAAGCGAAGTGATAGGGTTTGGTGGAATTTATGTAGTCTTCATAGTGGGTAAAATGTCTAAAATGGTCTTGGATGAAATGCAAAATACCCTGTTTGTTTTCATTAGTGGTTAGCCTCTGGGCTTTGTTAGGACGGACGTGAATGACACTTTCCAGATTGAGCTGGTGTCCTTGGGTCCATTGTTAAGCTAACAGAATGGGCTTGTTAGCCCGTTGGGCTTCTTTAGCTCCCACTTTTGGAGTCCATGGACGAGTGACAGATGGGCCATTGTTTTTTTTTTTTTGGGAAGTAATAAGGCATAGAACATGAATCGTTCTAATCTACCGTGACACACTCTCAGTTTAGCTATGAAAGGGCACAATGCTCGTTCCTCAGAGAATATTATTCTTTGCAAGTCAGTCCAGATGCCATGTTTCACACATCAATTTTCTTTTATTTATTTATTATTATTTTTTTTTGGTTCAAGTGTTCAACTAAGACGATTTTTGTCTTCTTTATGGGAATGGGTGCAAACTTGATAAGAGCACTCCTATTATTTTTATTTATTTTCAGCAATGCTGATTGGATTTAACGAAAATGACCAAGAGTTTATTTATTTATTTTGATAATTGTGAATGTCATTGTCACCTAAAATTAACTGATTCCAATTCACATCTCACCTAAAATTAACTGATTCCAATTCACATCTCACTAAAAATTTACTTCTGTAAAGATTATTTCTTTCCATTCCAAATCTAAATGCTCCCAAATGCAACGTAAAAAAATTGAAGGTATTACAATACTAAGTAATTTATTTATTTTGATAATTTTGAATGCCATTGTCACCTAAACTAACCAATCCTATCCATACTTACTTAAATTTAACATATTAATTGTTGTAGTCCTGTTAGAAGATGGAAGGTTCAAGTCGTAGGTATTTATATATTTTGTCAAGGAAAAAATAAAATAAAATAAAATAACATAAAAAGTTATATATCCCAGTAAAAATGTGTTATCTCATTCTGTTTTTTTGTAGTTCAAATAATCACTTTGGAAGGAGTAAGATTCTATTGTCAATTTGTCATGGTGGCTACGTTTATCAATACAAGGTTCAGGTAATTAAGCAAGTGGTAAGCCGTCTGACGATTAATGAGGACACCCAAAGATGAATATAAAGTAAGTAGCTCATTGTATGCAATTGTCAACAATCAACTAGGCATACATTGCAGTTGAGTGAAGCTTGATTAGCTTCAGATTATTGAACATAGGATTGGAAAACACACAACCAAGAAAGCTAAACACAAACCAAGTAGTCAACATTTGCATATATTAGCTAGAGAAATAAGAAATTGAAAGTAGAATTTGTCAAGTACTGCAGCGAAACTGGTTCAAGAAACTAGCGTTTTGAAGGCATCTCCAAGAGCTGTATTGGTGGTGCTGTAACCCCCATCAACTAACAGGTTCAGCCCACTCATGTACTTGGACTCATCACTTCCCAGGTACAATGCTGCCTCAGCTATATCTTCAGCTTCCAACATCGCCCCTTTTAAGTTTGCCCCCATAGAAAACACCTCCTCTGCCCTTTTCTCATCCTCCAATCCAGGTGTTTTCCTCAGCAATGGCGTGGTCACGCAATATGGAGAGATGCAGTTAACTCTGATCCCAAACTTCCCTAGCTCCACGCATAAGTTCTTGGTGAGTCCAACCACAGCGTGCTTTGCAGCCGTGTAGGCATGTGGGCCATAACCACTGACGACAGAACTCATGCTTGAAGTGAACAGAATGCTGCCTTTCTTGGCTGGGATCATCACTCTTGCCGCGTGTTTGGCGCCCAAGAATGCACCATACACATTTACATCGAATACCCTATTGAAATCTTCGCGATCCACAGATAATATGCTTGGATCCAGGTTACCTGAGATGCCTGCATTGTTGTACATTATGTCAAGCTTACCGTGCTTGGCCACAGCCGTGTCAACAGCATTTTGGACATCGGTCTCACTGCTAACATCACAATGGACATAGGAAATTGATTGATCTTCCATGCCAATGTCTTCACACACACAGTGACCAAGCTCATCTTGGATGTCCGCAATGATGACCTTAGCGCCATGTTTGACAAACAGCCTTGCAGTACTCGCACCAATGCCACTAGCACCACCAGTAATCACTGCAACCTTACCTTCCAGCCTGCAATGTCAAATTCAATCGATTTTCAACTTGTAGACCATTTATCTCATTTGTGCTACATCAAATAAAAATTAACCAAAGTGCAAGTAGGTGAAATTAATGTCAGCTTACCTTTTGGCAATTGGAGCGAACAAGGAAGAGGCTTTCATCATTTAAATTCCTTACCCAATTGTTTCAGATGAATAAAGCCTTCGTGGGAACTGATCTGCATTTCATATGTTTGAGCCAATTGTCTTGTTGAATTCTAAATACTGAGTCCACATCATGGAAAATGCACACTTGAGGATTGAATTTAATCAAAGAAGTCATGATATTATTCATATATATATATATATATATGTATGTATATTTCTAATAGTCAAAAGAAGGATGCTCTTTTGGAGTTTTGTTGGTTCTGGTCATGGAATCACATCCTTGATGTAAGAGTATTTTCAAAAAGTTACTTTTTAGTATTCAACAATTGCTGCTGAAAAGTTCTCCTGCAGAGTGGAGAGAGGGCCGCTAATTATTTTAATGAAATTTGAGGAGCCATCGTGGAAAGTAACGCCTCAGATATGCCGGAATGCCAATTTTTTTTTATCAATGTTAATTCCTGGGGTGACAATTGAATGGAGTTGGGCGAATGTTTAACTGATCATAAATGAATTAGTAACCTATTATCAATCCATTCAAGAGGGGTCATAAGGGGTTGAATGCTAAATAGACTGATAAGTTTTACATATAATCTTATTGACCCGTTCACAAAAATTATTATTATTATTATTATTTTCAATTTTTCCCCCTGCTTACAAAATTTTTTTAAATATAAATTTTTTTTTGTATATAAATCCATATTTGGTCTACTCACAAAATTATTCTCGTAATGTTTTTTTCCTATATCCATAGTAATTATTGTTATTATTATGTGAGAGAGGGAGAGAGAGAGAGAGAGAGAGCGGGGGGCGGGGGAGGACACAAAATTATTCTCGCTGCTAGCATTAGCAATTCCTCTGTTGGTTGCGTAGTGCTTCTTTGTAGCTGTTGGTTTGGGCTCTTGTATTTGTTCCCTTGACTCGGACCTACTGTGCTGGGCTTCTTTTTGGGTTATGCCTATCCTCTAGGCTCGCCCAATTGTACAGTTTTAACATATTAGTTTGAATTTTCAAAAAAAAATAGAGAGACGAAAGAGAAACGAGGAGACAGAAATAAGGAGAAAGAAAAATAAGAATTGAGCAAAAAAAAAAAAAAAAAAAAAAACGAGTAATTGATTTTGAAATTTATCTTGTGTGATGAATTGGTGGGTTAACTCACTCTTAAGTCATAACCCACTAAATATATTATTCATTGACACTGTGGATCCAGGGTGGGTTCAAGCTCACTCCAATTTTTATTTTTATTTTATTATACTTAATTTTAGCCTAGTCAAAAAAAAAAAAAATTTAAAAAAATTACTAATATTATCCACCCAAAAAAATATTAGCCCACCTCGTTGGTAATTCCTGAATCCACTATATTTTGCTTATCTATATATATAGGTTCCAAAACATATATATATATTTTTTACTACATGCAATTTTAGCCCAAGCCCAAAAAAAATAAAAAAAAGTATTATTAGTATTTGCCCACTCAAGGAAATATTAACTCACCCCATTGACTAGGGGTGGTCACAAATCGGATCGGATCGAATTATGCATCAGTCCTAAACCGATTCACTCACAACGGATTAGGAGATTTTGAATCCGTCACCAATCTGTTGGTCCACGAATCGGATCGGATCCGATCTACGGACTCGATTTTCCAAATTAACTAAGTGCAATAATTAAAAAATTAAAAAAGATTGTGAGATACAGGATACTTGATATAAATAAATAAATATATATATATATAACTAACTCAATTGCAAATTTCAGCCTATATATATATAAATGACAATTAAGCAAAACCAATAGATAGATCATCAGAACACAAGATTCAAAAATATATCATCCAAAACTACTTAATCCACCTCAAACAAAAATCTAATCTACTAAAAACCAAGTACCAAAATATTGAAATAGCAGTAAAATTTCTGCAAACGAACTCTACTTCCATACTAGAAAAACGATTAAATCAAATAGAAGATTTTACAGCAGATCAGAAGGAGGGAGGATCGGTGGCTAGGTTTTGATTTGGTGAAGGAGACGGCAACAGATCAGAAGAACTGAACTGAAGAAGAGTAGTGAGAGTGTGAGACGGCCGCAACAGATCAGTAGTGAGAGTGTGACACGGCTTCTTTAGCTAGGTTTAGGTTTTATCTTTTATGAAATGAAAACTGAAAAGTTAGTGGTATGTAATATGTATAATATAGTTAATACTTACCAAAAAAAGAAAATAAAAAAAGTAAGCTATGTTATTACTATATATTAAATTATAAATATTATATATATATATATATATATATATATATATTACGGATTGGTCACGGATCGGATTTTTGATAGCTTAATTCGTGATCCGATTCGTGAATTATAGATTCAATTTTTTTGAATCCGCCACCGATTTGTGGGTCTTGTAATCGGATCGGATCGGATCGAGTTCACGAATTCGCAAATTTTTTGCCCACCTTTACCATTGACAATTCCTAAATCCACCTATATATAACTCATGTTGTGAGCTAAATAATTCCTCAAACAAATATTTTGACTTTATTCAGTTTTTGTTTATGTGGCGGGTTGGGGAGAATTCATGTAATAATATCTGGGGATGGATTGTCTCACATAATTAAGGTTGATGCATACTTTCAAAATGATTGAAAATGATGTGAATGTGGACTGATTAAGAGAAATGATGATAAGGGTCGATCATCCAATTCTTGTTGATTCTCTGTTACGGAGTATTTTCTTCATTTGTTGCAAATGATGAGGTGGATGAGATTTTGGTGCTCCATGAAGATTTGAAAATCCTTATCAGATGGGGATGTATAATATATATATATATATATATATAGACACACACACACACACACTCAGTAGTCAATGTGGATTGTGAATGTGTGTAACCTCTTTACTCCTAAGAAGGCATTGCGTGGTAGCCGGCTACAGTTGCAAAGGTTCTGTTGTTTTGTCTGATTTCAAAATGTATAGGCTAATTTACATGTTACCGTTAGTTAGTGTTAGTGTTAGTGTTAGTGGATTTGGGCTCATTTGTTTGCCCATATGGGCCTTCTTTTGTTCTGGCCTAAAGCCCCACCTTAAACAAAACAAGAATAAAAACAAAAACATTAACGCCTGGTTCTCTCTCTATCTAATACAGATATATCTCTCTCATTTTGGGGGGTGAGCTACTAAACTAATTGAAGTTGTACAATTTAATATAAATTCAACATGGTTTCTTTTTGTATCATGCATCATAACAAACAACCATAAACATAAATATAACGAGCCATGCTTGCCTCGAGGACCTCTCACGTGACATAATGGAATATCACATGCCTATTTCAAATTTAAAATGTGTAAGAAAAGCAAAATCTTATTTGAGATTCTCAAAAAATCTAATTATATATTTTTTAGGGTAAAATATAGTCACACTCTCTAAGGTTTGGTAAAAGGACATTCAGAGAAAATTTACCTGTTTTTTGAACAAAGACACCCCCTGAAGGTTCAAAAATGAACAAAGACACCCCTTTATATGAAATTTTGACCAAATTACCCTTTCACCGTTTAGGAGATTTTTTTAACTTTACAATTTAATAAATTAGACCAATCTACCCTCATGAATAATTTATGCATAAAAAAAAGTAAAAAAAAAAACTTTATATTGTTCACTTTTTTTTTTTTTTTTTTTTGCTTTATAAATGTCTCAAGATGTCTAAATTGATTTTTTTATTCAATACATATATTTCAAATTATATATGGTATCAATATAACTTTATGGATCTTAAATTATATATCAAATATTATGCATTTCCCAATATAAAAGAAAATAGGTACCTGTAAAATTTATGCATCTTAACTTTATGAATGCCTTTGTTTTTTTTTTTTTTTCCCTTTTTATTATTATTATTATTTTTTTCCCATTGTTTTATTATTATTTTTTTCCCTTTTATATTGGGAAATGAATAATATTTGATATATAATTTAAGATACATAAAGTTATACTGGTACCATATTTTTTATTTTTAAGGAAAATAGATTGGTTTAATTTTTTTAGATGAAAGAATTAAGCATCTTAATTTAAAAATAAAAAAGAAAAGGAAAAGAAGTAATAACAAGATATCATTTATTTGAAATATATGTATTGGATCAAAATATCATTTTTGACGTCTACATTTTTAAGAAGTTGTGACATTTATAAAGTAAAAAAAAAAAAAAAAAAGTGAACAATATAAAGTTTTTTTTTGTTACTTTTTTTAATTTATTTTTATGCATAAATTGTTCATAAAGGTAGATTGGTCCAATTTATTAAATTATAAAGTTAGAAAAGTCTTCTAAACGGTCAAATGGTAACTTGGTCAATTTCTCATGTAAAGGGGTGTCTTTATCCATTTTTGAACCTTCAGGGGGTGTGCTTGTCCAAAAAACAGGTAAGTTTCATCTGATTATTCTTTTGCTAAACCGTAGGGGGTGTGGCTGTACTTTACCCTATTTTTTAATAATGTTAACTTAGATATGAATTCAAATCATCGAGTACTTCGAGATTCACTTGGGGTGGCTAAAATCACCATACTGGTGGACTCCACTTGTTGTTAGGTTGATCGAGTTATCTTTGATGCACCGCAAAAAAAAGTTATTTAAGTAAATTTTCTCACATAAGTATTGTATTTTATTTTATTTTATTTTTTTTTTCAGGCTAGCTAACTAAGTTAGTATTAAGGTGTGATATGTAATTGTTTTTTTTTTTGGTATAATACACTAACACCCCTTGAGGTTTGCCAAAAAGACATTCAGATGAAAGTTACTTGCTTTTGGGACAATGACACCCCCTTGAAAAAATTTCATCCAAACAAGGCCTTAAATCATTTGAAAAGACAAAATTACCCCTTAATATTAAATTCAAATTTATTGCAAAATACCAGAGCTGTCAAAATGACGCAACTGCCCCTGAATGTTTAACAACCCTAATCTTCTATCCATCGAACATACGTCTGCCCCTCTTTTTCTCTCTTCTAATCTTTCATTTTTTCTTTCGTCTGCCTCTGTCTTTGCTCGAAGATCTGATCCATCCCCAGTCTATAAGGCAAGCTGCGGAGACATCATCGTCTTACGTCGCCGGCTACATGAACGAAGTCCCGACCTCCTGAGGTACCTCCAAAACAACAC